CTGAAAAACCACGTCGTGTGTTGTGGTTTCAGTGTGTAGTTTGCAGCAGTTACCCAGCAACTCCCAAACACTGTTGAGCTCTCAGATGGCATTTTGCAGCACCAATGCTTTAAAGCAGCTTCCTCCTCCTCCCTGAGCTTTACCAGCCTTGATTTCTGTGCTGTTGATCTCATATTTTTTTTGTGTGTAACTCACAAGGAATTTAATTCTGGCTGCAAAAGTGCACTGAGCATTAGAGCTGCCTGGGAGGCAAACTGAACACAATGATCCTTTATGCCACTAAAACTCCCCGTGAGGACAGTGTTATCCCAGAACAAGAATACCCTTCCCACATTGCTTCTAGCACATTGTAAGGGTAATTAACTAAAACACAACCTCCTCCCCCACAAAATGCTCTTTTATCACGGGGAGATGTAAACTCAGCGCTCTGAACTGGAATGAAATGTCCCCAGGAGGATTTTAAATGGCATAATCAGTACAGCAACTTTTTTTTTTAATGGAGGTTTTGCAGCCAAGGCCAATTCCAACAAACCTGCAGTGAGGTTATGAGTGTGAAATGGTGTTTCTGATACAACAGTAGGATCTCATCAGCAGTGAAATAGTTCTAGGCACAAGTCCTGTGCATTATACTTCAGCAGAGACACACAGTGAGCAAAGCAGTTTGCTTGAACTTCACAAACTTGGGCCATGCAGAATGTTTAATTCCCTTTGCTCTTGGAGAGCCTCATTTTTTTTCATTGTACTCTTGCCTACTTCAGCTCAAGCACAGCCATTCCTGTTATTACTTTGTAGCTGTCAGTGTCTGTTAAAGACTCCATAGCTTCTAAAATATTCCAGTTGGAGACATGTGGAACAGATCAGCCCAACAAATGTCTGATTGTTCTTGGCTGGCCCAGGTGAGAGGGAAAGGGGTCAGTAAAAGACTAAACTTTATTAGACACAGGAACTAAAGCTCAAGATGTTCACTGAGCATGTAAGAAATCAACAAGTATTTTTATAGCTTTTGTCTGCTCCCAAGGATTATTATGGTTAAGTGGAACCTTGTGGAGGTTTGGCTGTCTGGGAGGCAAATTTCTGCCACTCTGAGTTCAGAAGGGATCTGTGAGTGTACTCAGGGAAAACAGTGGGGAGTGATGTGTGTGTGACAGGAGAGCAGAAATCACAATTATTTCCCCTTTTTTTTTCAGATGACAACGATCACACCTTGTGGAAAGTGCACTTTCTTTAGATAGGTAAAGGTGTCACAAGGGAGAGGATGTGTCTTCAAACTTTCTTGCTTCTTCTGACGAGTGTTACTCCACCAAACGTTATGGACTGTGGAAGACAAATATGCAGAGTTTGTTTTCCATTTAGACTTTAGGAAATCTATTTATAGCTAAGTGGCAGAAGTTTCTGTAGCTGGTGCATAAATCCATCTTATTCCACAAGCAAATACTTTCACATCACCTGCCTATAAATAGAGGTATAATATTCATACCAGGGAAAACGTTTTTACAAAACCAGCTCTAAAGACAGAAAATCTAAATACAAATGTCATCATCCACTCCATCCTATCACTCTGTTTTAAGAGGTGTCATTGAAAGGCTGAGAGAATTGGGATTGTTCACCCTGGAGAAGAGAAGCTTTGGGGTGACCTATTTGTGGCCTTGCAGTACCTGAAAGGAGCTACAAGAATACTGAAGAGCTATTTCCAAGGGCCTGGAGGGACAGGACAGGGGAGAATGGCTTCAAACTGAAAGGGAGTAGGTTTAGATTAGGTATTAGGAGGAAATTGTTCCATGTGACGTGTTGAGGCACTGGCACATGTTGCCCAGAGCAGCTGTGGCTGTTCCATTCCTGGGAGTGTTCCAGACCAGGTTGGATGGGGCTTGGAGCAACCTGGACGGGTGGGAGGTGTCCCATGGACTCATTATACTCATTTGGACCTTATACTCAAAATGGCCTTAGGAAACTGTATGGCTAAACCAGATAACTTTAATAGAGTCAGTTGTGCTCCTTGGGACAACCTTTCCCCAAGGGGACAATTTGTAGGAGCCCAAGGAGCTTAACTGCAGAGCAAATCTCTTTGTCAGTACCCAGCAATTAAGTACTGAAGAATTTGGGAGAATTGAGGTGGAACAAGAGCATTGTAAATGTTCAGGTTTGGCTCAGCCTTCACTGTCCTGTCAGAGGTGTTGCTGTGGCTAGGGCTGAGGGTGGAATTTGTAAGGACTCTTCCTGCAGCTAAAGCCCTTCACACCTCAGTGCCTGGAATTGGCCCCAGGGTGGTAATTAATGAAGGGATTTGTTGAGCAGGATGCATTAAATAGATGAGCAATATTTAAAGGAGAGCCATCTAAGGCAGTTGGTTTTAATAAGAACCAGGAACAGTAAAGGATATTAATAGTGTTTTCCACTAACTGTGGTTAGTTTGAAATCCTTAAATTGTGTATCTGCAGGTTTAAGCACCTGGAAGGGATTCTGCAAGGAAGGTAGGAACCTTGAGGCCAGGATTTAAGATATTGAGCCAACACTAAGAATCACAGAATCAAAGAATTTAAGGGTTAGAATGGACCTTATAGATCATCCAGTCCCACTTACCTCCACCATTTCATTTCCTTTCACTTCTTGCTCATGGGTGAATTTGTCTGATTTGCACACAAGTTTCCCATTCACCATGTTCACCGTGCACTGTTGGAACAGGTAACAATCATGAACAAAAATGTAGATTTTGGAGTTCAATTAGAGCAAGTAAATTCAATTAGAACAGGTAGAGGACTAACAGATAGGAAATAAATGGTGCTGTTGTTTCACAGTCACATCTGCTGATTTAAACTGGAGAGCACAGGATTTGAGTAGGAGATTTAGAAGGAACATTTCTGTTTATTGGAGGGGTAGAATTGTACAAACAACTTTCACCCACACAGAAATGAAGTATAAGGATGAAGATTCCTGGAATCCTTTACCTTTAGCTTCCTGCCGTCCATGGTAGTGATGTCAGCCTCTTTGCCGATCGTAAATGAGTTGGTGACAGACTGTTTGGGTGTCTTTGATGTCACAACAAAGTCATTTCCTTTTTGCTGTATCTCAACAACAGGCTTAATGTCTTTGGCCATTTTGATAACGTCATCTGGCAAGGCTGTGAAAACAGGCAGGACAGGAATTTCTCTGTTATGGAGTAGTGTGGTGAGAGGAAACAGCTAATGCTTTTCCCCAGTAAATGTGCCAAAGAAACAAACCAATAATAGAAAGTGATGTCCAAGTTAAAGGACAAATCCTGGTTTGGATTCCTCACTTCTCTGTGGGCATTTTGCTCCATTCCACCCAGTAGATTTTGATGCTCTATCTGTCCGTGTTGTGGCAGAATATGCATTGTTTCTGTCAGGCACAGCTGCCCACAGGATGACATTTCTCCATGACAATAACATTGTGTGTATTATCTTGTTTTCCCAGGGAGATTGGAGCTGGGGATTCTGTCTCATCAGAGTTGCAACAGTGTGAGTACCTCAGACTGCCTGATCAGGGTAGTGGTTTGGGGGTGTCATCGTTAGCAGGAGAGGATTGGTTCAGGCACCACACTGGCAGAATAGGCTCTTCAACTGGAACTGAATCTTACTCTCCTGACTATCCCCTACCCCAGTGGGAGTGTTTTGACAAGATTGTCAAGTGGGTAAATGCATTTTTGTTAATGCAGAACCTGCTAATTGTAACCACTGAGTTGATCCCTCACAGATTCCTGATCAGCTCTCACACGTGTTGATCCCTCATAGATTCCTGACCAGCTCTCACATGTGTTGATCCCTCACAGATTCCTGATCAGCTCTTACCCACGCTGATCACTAGTACTGCAGAAAGTGTCTGTGTACCAATAGCACATTGGGAAACTGAATACATCATCAACAGCTTGTTTCTTATTAAATGTAGTTATAAAGTTATGTGTTAATCAACACAAGTTGGGTTCTGGTAGAGCTCTTCTTTCCTGAAGAACTCACCTAACGTTAAAATAGGGATTTGGGGATTATCTGTAGCCTTTCCACATCAATTGGTATCACTTTTAGCTTCTTTTTGATTCCAAAAGCCTTGAGCAACCTGCTTTGGGTGGGAGGTGCCCCTGCCCAGGGCAGGGAGTTGGCACTGGATGATCTCCAAGGTCCATTCCAATCCCTTAACATACTATAATCACAGGTTTAACCTGTCAGGGGGGAGTTTGTCAGGAAAAATCCCCATAGAAATAACCAGAATAAAAGCTGTGATGCCAAGTGTGTGGTGCAAAGGATTTCAGGAGGAACCAGACACTTACCAAGAGCTTTCAGGAATGGTTCCAGGTTCTCTTGAGCATAGACCTGCCACGTCCCAGCGAATGCCATGGTGGGGGCTGTGACCCAGTGGGGTGGTGATGGCAGTGGCAGAGTGAGGGCTCTCCCTGCTCCTTTGGATGCTATTTAAGGGAAGGGAAAGGCTTGACCAAATGATGAGATGGCTAATTATTAACTGGGGCATAACAATTATTAATCATGTATTTGTTCTTAACGATGATAACCTCTAGTTCATTCTACTCTGTGGAAAGCCTTACCTTGACGTTTGGGATGTTGTGTTTGGTGTGGGTTACTGACCTCAGGTGATTGTCCATGATTGTTGTGAAGTGCTGCGTTGCTTCGTTTGGTTTCTTTCTGTTCACAGCTTCTGTGTTTGATATATTTTGCTTTGAATAGAATCCTTCAGATAAAATGGCATCATTTACAGTAGATCAAGGTAATTACTGTCCTACAGCAGGAGCTTCCTAATTATCACAATATTCTCTGCTATGAGCACTTGAAAATTAAATGGTGAATAATGAATGGATAAAATCCACAGTGATTTCTTTTCAGGCCTGGATCAGTCACGGACTTTTTCAGGCCTGGATCAGGACAGTGTGGTCAGCAGGACCAGGGAAGTGATTTTTCCCCTGGACTCTGGTGAGGCCACACCTTGAATCCTGTGCTCAGTTCTGGGCCCCTCAGCTCAGGAGGGACATTGAGGGGCTGGAGCAGGTCCAGAGAAGAGCAACGAGGGTGGGGAAGGGACTGGAGCACAAGTGCCATGAGGAGAGGCTGAGGGAGCTGGGGGTGTTCAGCCTGGAGAAGAGGAGGCTCAGGTGAGACCTTCTCACCCTCTGCAACTCCCTGACAGGAGGTTGGAGTCAGATGGGGGTTGGTCTCTTCTCCCAGGACAAGAGGGCACAGACTCAAGCTCTGCCAGGGGAGGGTTAGGTTGGATATTAGGAAGAGATTTTTTTACAGAGAGAGTGCTCAGGCATTGGAATGTGCTGCCCAGGGAGGTGGTGGATTCCCCATCCCTGGAGGTTTTCAAGCTGAGACTGGATGTGGCACTTAGTGCCATGGTCTGGTAACCACGGGAGGGTTGGACTTGATGATCTTGGAGGTCTTTTCCAACCCTGTTGATTCTATGACTCTATGATTCTTCCAAAACTGTGGGTCTCCTATTGCTTGAGGACAGGGCAAATCATGTTGGAGTGGGACATCAGTTATGACTTTATCCAGCAGATGTCAGTGATGTGCATCTAAATCTGAATTAAACTCAGTTTATTATTGCTGGGTTTTAGTAATCATTTCATACATGGAATAGAAAAGGTAAAATAAAACATGGAACATTGCTTGGAGACTGAATACAAGAAGGAAATAGGATGTGCTATTTTTCTTCTCACCACTTGCCCCAAGAATTCCTCCCTCATTGTAGCCCTTGGGTGATATTCCTTGCTGCCTGTGCAGACGTGACTGTTGACTTTGGAAAACATTCATTAGATTATGTGTCTTGCAATTTTATTGCTTAATTCAAACACAGCCTGTATCCCAGGGGTGGGTGACCCAACTTAACATGTATTACTCTGTACTGGTCAGTACAGAGTATTTAAATACAAAACCAACACTGAACTTCTTCTTACAAATTCCCAACATATTTTTTTGTTTTAGCATGTAATTGTAAAGAAAATTCACACCCAAAGAGCAAATTTGGTGGTTATATCTCCATGTGAGAATCCCTGATTAGCAAGGGTGAGGTGCTGATGGTGAGTAAGGCCATTTTTAGGTGTGCAGAGTGTCCTGACATCCCATACACACACAGACTGATTTTCTCATGGATGCACTGGGCAGCAGTGCTGAGATGGCACTGAAGGTGTAAGTTTAATCACACACACACAGAAGCATTTGTCAGCTACAAGATAACCCACAACACATAGTGATTTAATACAGAAATCTCCACTGAGGACCTGGTTCTCTTGTGTGACTCCTCTGGCATTTCCCACACAGATTTCCCAGGAAGGAGTCTCTCTGGAAGTGAAGATGGATGTGCACACACATGGGAACACACACACACACAGAGGAGAATAGTTTTCTAACAACTATCAACATAAAAATTACTGAGATCTTACTAAAATATAGAGATGAGCCTGAATTTTAGGGCAGAGGCTCTGAAAAGAATCTGAAGGATTTAAACTGCTTTTAATTCACAGAGAGATAATCGACTGATTCATTTAGGCTTTTTTGTTGTAATCCCACCTGGGACTTCTTGTTCTTCCATTCCTATTGGGATCTCTCCATGCTTATAGACACTGATAGTGACCTGCCCTGTCTCAGCCCCATACTTGTTCTTGACATAGATGCTGTATTTTCCTGTGTCATCATTGCAGACCTTCTCTATGGTGATAGTGACCACTGAGCCCTTCACATCCATCTTGTATCGGTCCTTAAAGACAATAACCTTCTCGTTCTTGAACCAAGTGATCTCTGGGTAAGGATCTCCCGACACACAGCAAGTTAAACACAGGGTCTGTGTAAAACAGGTAACAGAAATAGATCATGAAGTTATAAGTGAACAAGGAAATTCAGTTTGTTGAATCACAGAATCATTTTGGTTGGATAAGACCTTTAAGATCATCAAGTCCAACCCTTAACCCATCACTGCCAAGGCCACCGCTAAACCCTGTCCCAGGTGCCTCATGCACACATCTTTTAAATACCAGGGAGGAATTAAGATAGGTAAAAATTCAGCTCTCTGATTTTCAGTAAGTGACATTCCAGGACTGCCTCTCTTTTCCCTCATATCCTATGGTATGAGCAGGATTAACCTGCCTGAATTCACTGGGCCTGACTCATGTTTGTACTCTCTTTTTATAGCTTTCTCATGCTCTAAAGTCACACTTACATAGGCACATGATGAATTTACAGTTGCTTTACAGGCTTTTTATTCTGCCTCTGTAAAGGGAATGTGACTTGGGAATGTGACTCAGAAATGTAAGCAGAGAGTTGGTATGATGGGAAAATCAGATCCAGCACTTAAAGGCCTTAACATTCCAATCCTATGAAATGGGAAGACAACAGAAAGGATCTGGCTGTGAATATGACTTAGGAGGGCACCACTTCCCACCTCTGGCAACTGCAGGAGCTCAGAAAAGCTGCTGGGAACACGCAGGAGGGGAAAACAAGCACTTTTCCTCTCAATCAGTTATTCTTCTGTGCCTGTGCAAGGGCCAAGTAACAAAGTTACTCAACATTACCTTATCCTCCATGATGGTGGCAACATCTGGCAGACCTTGAACGACTCTGGCACGACCTGGCAATGAACAAATAACAAGATTTTAGTTTTTCCTATCAGCAAACCACTTGGCTTTGTTTCACTGAAGGAAAGAAATTCATTTACTTACGTTTTTCTGCTATGGCTGCTTCCCTGAAAGGGAGAGAAAATGATTGTGGGTTGATTTATGAGCCATTCTAGTCTCAGTTTAGAACATGACACTCAAAATAGATTTAGGTAGGAACTTACTTTAGCCTTCTGTGCTCAGCCAGGGCATCTTCAAAGGCTGCAAGGAATGAAAGGTTTTAGGAGAAGTTGCTGTTTGTTTCCTTTGACTCAGGAGGTTTAACATTCTGCCCTGGGAGAAATGTGATTATCCTCCAGACAGTGTCTGTCTCTGCCTCAGGGAAATATGGCTCTGTTTGTATACTGCTAGATCAAGTGGGACCTAATTCTCCCTTTCCAAAGAGAAGCCTGGAGGAAGAAACCACTCCAGCAGTTTGGAAAAGTCTTTGTAAACCTGAAAATTCTCTTTTTAATTCCAAGATGCCACCAATAAGCTCTGTGAAGGAATCAGACACATCCCAGGAGCTGCTGCTCATCCTGTCCCCCGCAGTGCCTCATGCTGTGACTGCAAGACTCCCTAAGGGCTTCAACCCTCTCACTTCTCACGTTTTCCTGACTTCTGTGAGCACTTCAGTGTCCTTCTAACCCCAATTCCACAGTATGTTCTCATGGCACTGCAGCTGCAGCTCAAATCAAGGAGTGAGGACTCCCTGCCGAAGGACTCTTGGAAAGCAGCTCAGGTACATCTCGTTCCCAGGGCACTTTGACTCAGCTCACCTTGTCCAGACAGGTCTGTTGACAGTTTGTGAGAGCTGTTCCCATCGAATAACTCCAGGGTGTATTTTCCCTTGTCGGCGTCCGTGGGCTCCAGGATGTGAAGCCAAATCCTATCCATGGTGCTCCCAGCCTTGATCCTGTCACGGCTCTCCAGCTGCTTCTCCCTGAATCAACAAGGGATGGCATTTCACTAGTATTTAATGGATAAATCAGTGTTAACTTTGTTCAGACCTGTACTGGTTGGCAGAAGAGAGTGGGAGTCAGGAGTCATTTCATGGGGACTTTTGTACTCAGTCACTTGTGAAAATCCCATGGGGCATCTAACTGTGCTGTCAGGCAGTTTGCCAAAGCTTTACAAACTCTACAAAAAGACCTTTTGGTGCTTATTTAGGAGATTAAATAACGTTTAGATGTTGAATATTCGTAAGCATTTAGCCCTTAAATGTTATTAAAAATTGGCCTCCTTACGTGCGTGTGTAGGTGGCATCTAATAAAACAGCATTTCTCTATTTATTTAGCCATTATGAGGCTAAATTAGCCAATGTTTGGGAAGAATTTTATGATGTTTGGGAAGATTTGTTATTCAGAGTAGGAGAATTGTTTAGGAAAACGTGAAGTAGTAGAAATAAAGAGTCTGGAAAACCAACAACTTCTTTTCCTGTAGCCAAGGAGGCTGTAACTGAGCAGTGTCATAAGGGCCTTGTTAATATTCTAGTAAAGATGATCATTTATAAATCAAGATGATAACTCGTAAGTATTTCTGCTGTGCTAAGGTAAAAATAACATGAGTGCTCATTCTGGAAGACCCAGACTTGTTTCAGGGTAAGAGTGATTGTGTTTTTTTACTCAAACCTACAGCTCAGGCCAACATGGTTAGTGTTGAGGATCAACAGTTACAAGCAACAGTGCTGCAGGGCCCTGCAAAGATCTTCTGGGGACTTACTTGTGATACCAAGTCGTTTTCATGTAGTCTGTGTAGTACTTGACATCTGTGTAGATTTTGATGCCTTCCTCGGTCGGCTGAATTTGCAGAGGTGTAGCAGAAAGAGCTGAAATTGAGGAGGACGTTCAAGAGTGCACAGTTTTCCATGTTGCACCAACACAATCCCAAGCAACACGTTAACATTTCACTGTGGAGAATGTGGCTAGCTGAGAGCAGGATGGAATTTTGTCTCTTGGAGACCTTGGAGCTTTTGTGTCTCTTCTAGGGACTTGGGTCTGGACTACACATCTCACAGACATCTTGGCCAAACTCTCACAGCAGTGACATGACAAGGAGCAGGCTGCCAACACCTGAAGGTCACAGAGTCAGTTTGTAAGTGCAGAGGGGTTTAGGTCCCTGGATTTATTTACCTCCTAACACTAAAGGAACAGTAAATGTGGCGTTGTTGCTCCAAGCCCAGGGCCAGCTCTGAAGCAGTTTGCTCTGATCATGTCACCCCACCTTTCCCCTTCCATTATTCCTGTGTCAGCTGCTGAGAAATGACATACCACTGATCCTGCACAGCTCCTTCAGAAGATCTTCAAAGGCTGCAAGACAAAGATTTACACGTCTGGAAAGACAATACTTAGCAAATCACATCTGATCTACCAACTTAATTTCACTGTGTTTTGGATGTGTTATATCCACTGGTTATTTGCTGACTTTTTTTTCTGTTTCAGAGGTCACTAGGAATGGAGTTTTTGCCACTGATTCATTTATTTTTAGGTGCTGGGCATTTCTAACTAAATTTAGATGCTCCTATCTTCCTTAACACTCAACGTGTGCAACCAACTGCCTCCCAGAAAGGAGATTGATGTGTTAGGTTTAAATGATGGATTCCAGATGTCAGGGGAGGATTTAATCTTGGGCAGCAGAATCTGATTGAAGTGACTGAAACACTCCTGAGCTTTTAGCTGTGGTGCTTGGCAGAGGTTATAACTCAGCCCTAGCTTGAGAAATGGCTCCAGGTGTGAGTGGAATGAGGTTGTAGATCAGGAAACGCTTGAAAGTGGAACAGTAAATTTTTTTAGGCAGGTTTTATTCCATGTGAAAGCATATAGGTAGTGGTAGAAAGGTATGGAATCTGTTTTTTCAGTCCAAAATGAACCCAGGGCAGGGGTGTGAGTGTGTATGAGAAGGTTCTCTTACCTCCTTTCGTGAGATCCAGTTGGGTGTTGTCCTCTCCTCGATCATCTGAAACAACTGCTTGGTACTTGCCCTCATCTGCTTTGGTTACCTGGCAAATACACGTGTAACAGTTCTAAAACCAAACAAAAACCAAACCCCCAAACCAAACAACACCTCTCCCAAAGAGACTCCCCACGTCATTGAACTAGGGCAGGGTTTGGAAAAGGGGAGAAAGGTGAGATTTTATTTGTCTCTCCCAATGAATTAGGCTTAGGTGATCAGAAATGAGGGCAATAAAATGCTCAGCTTGCCCCAGAACCTGCTTTGCAAGGCACTACCCAAAACACATGGGATATTACTAAGTTCAATCCATATTTAAAACCTCTGAGCTCTGTGGTTTTCACCTTTGGTATAAGGAGCGTTCCTATCCCAGTCTGTGGATCAAACACACCTCCTGCTCGTGTTTTGTGATTGAAGAACCACTGGAAGTTGGTGTCCTTCCTCAGGTTTGTTGCCTGTTTCAAGTCAACATTTAGAAGTCAGGATCCCAAATGCATTTTATTTCTGAATTCCTGGATCTCCTTCCAATATGAGACATCACTTACATTAGAGAATTGCTCCAGAACCTTAAAATTTCTGCCCCAAATACACCATCTCCTATCTTTCACTGGTCTGCAGCACTTGGATGTGACAACCCTTAAAATTCACACCTAAAACGGAATGCTGCAGGAATTCAACCCGTTGCATCCCAAACCGTATGTACCTTGCAGGTCAGGAGTACTTCGCAGCTTTCTGTAACCTTCCATTTCAAGTTCTCTATGAAATGTGGACCTGGAAAGAAGATCAATGACTGATGCGACTGATTTCCGCAGCTCTCGGGTGTTAACTGCAGAAATGCTTCCATCTAGTGCTGGATTCCCGCACTGCGGCTGGAGGGAATGCTCTCCATGGAATTGGGAGGGGAAACTGGGAAACGTTACTTTATGGACACCTTCATCCACACCGAGCATCTCTCACGCCAGGGGACTGGACCTATCGTCTAGGCTGGTGTCACAGTCGTTATTTAGGGAATGTTTTTATCCCAGAACTGAGCACAGGATTCAAGGTGTGACCTCTCCAGCACCGAGTCCAGGGGCAGAATCACCTCCCTGGTCCTGCTGACCACACTGCTCCTGATCCAGGCCAGGATGGCATTGGCCTTCTTGGCCACCTGAACTTATCTAGACAATCCTGTTTTCTACAGGAAAAGTGAGTGGATTTAAGTTACATGATATGTGTTCAGGCTGAGCAATTCTCAGAGTTCCAAAGTGTTTGGTGTCACAGCACTGATGCAGCAGATCTGTACGGACAAATCTGCAGAGCTTGGCTAAAAGGATTTAAATAAATGATTTGATTTTTAAGGGCAGGGCAAAGTATCTGGAAACAAGGAATCTTATCCTACTGTGTTAATCAAATAATATGCTTAAAAAGATGATAAAAGCATTTAGAGCACTCAGTGAATTATCTTAGCTTGGGGTTTGCCATCCTTGTGGCATAATTCAGGTGAGTCATGAACCTTTGGTTCATCTTACCCTGCTTTTTCTTCCACTGTCTCCTCTTTGCATCAGCCTCTGCTGCAACTTTATCAAAACCTATGGGACAGCAATGGACAGAGTCAACAAACCCCACAAATTCTCCAGGTAATACTTCAGAATCTCTGCTCCAAAAAGGTTTTATCATTAGAGCTGTGACATTTGTGTGCATCAGTTACCTCCTGCTGGTTGCTGAGAACCTGACATTTATTTTCATTACAGCAAAAGAGCCTGTGAAAACCATTAAGCATTTAGCAAATGAAATAGTAGTTTGACCTTATAAAAAGGTCAAACCCCCTGAAATTTAAATGTTTGAAAAGTAAGGAAGAGAAATTTCTTACATGGCTTCAACTGTGGGCTAAAAGAAGTGTTTGCTCTCCCCATTCCCAGTGTGCCATCATAACTGTCAGAAATCCTCTGGGGCCTTAAGTGCCTCTCAAACTTTTCACTGAGCCTGGCAGTCTATATTTGATCCTGAATTTCCACTTACTTTCATCCACCAGAACTAGGGTGAATTGATTCTTAGCCTTCCCATCTTGCAGTTGGGCTGTGTACATCCCTTTGTCATCCTCACAGAAATCCTGGATGATCAGCTCTACGAGTCCTTTTGCTTTGACAAAGTTTATTTTATGTGTCTGTGTAAAACAGAGAGAACATGCTGAACTGAAGAGGTTTTTTTCCACCTGTTCCAAGGTCAGATCCTGGCACAGCATTTTCTACAACAGACATTGGAGTCATTTTAGATCTGTATCCTTAAATCCTTCCCTCATATGACAGATAATGAGGCTAATGTGCTATTCCATACTGTGGGATTCATCTGTTATTTATGGATGTAGGAATGGCAGAATTGCTTCCAGCAGAGCTTTCCTCTGGGAGAAAGTTGCTGTTAAAAACACCTAACACCTAACACCTAACACGATCCTTGTTGGATATTACAGATTTACTAGACTCTCTGTGATTTTTAATGCCACCAAAATGTTGTGTTCAGTGACACATCTGTGACAAGTGATTGGATATTTGGGCCACGATGAGTAACGTTTTGCCCTCCTGACATTGTGCAGGTAGTGCTGAACCTTCTAACACACACCCTGAAACTGCTGAAATGTCTCACCATTCTGCCTCTCTGCCTGCTTTGCTCTAAGCAGATATTGTCCTTCCAAAGAGCTTGATAAATGCTTTCAATTGTGCACAGCCCTGTCAGTTCTGTTGTGGAGGACAGTTCTTAGAAGATACAAAGCCTCTGATGAACTTATTACACTTTGCTTTATGTCCCCTCAACGTGGCACTAACCTCTAAGTGCTTCAGCCTGGTCCCGCCCCTTGGTTCTATCAGTTCTGTTTGTTGTTTTGGCATTGCTGCTCTGCTCTGAACTGACAGGCCAGTGATTGATACTGGGCTTCATTCTCAACTGTTCTCCCCTCTGGTCCTGTCATTCTAAATGCTTTTTCAGTGTTATAATATTAACTTGATATGGGAAGACAAGGAGGAGGCCTGAAAGTTTTTTTTTTTTTGGGATGCACCAGGAGGTTGGAGCTCACTGTAACACACGAGGCAGAGTTATTTCAGTGCCTCTGGCAAATAAATCACTTTCATCTGTTCCAAGGATTCGTGAGATTTGTCTGTACTCAGTTCAGAGAGACAGGGGGGGAAGCTTGCACATGGCTTGGGAAAGCAGGAGAAACATATCCCATCTCATTCCAAGAGATGGAATTTCTTTAGCATCCACTGAAATGAGTTAAATGTGTCCATCCAAGACAAAGCACAAGTGCATTTATGGTCTTGGAGGAATTATACATGGCTGAGGTTTATGATCAGAAAATTCCCTTACAAAAAGGAAGTCAAATTGTCCAAGGAATATTGCTAAGGAATATTACCCTGTCTGTGGCTAACAGTGTCAGTGCTGAGCCTTGCAGCCTAGGATGGATAGCTTAAGAATGAGGAGTTGTCTTTCTGTTTATGCACACTGGAAAGCCAAGCCCTAAAGTCTTCCAAAAATACACCTCAAAATATCTGATGGGAATTTAGAA